AGGTTTCGCTGTGTAACAAATGCTGACAGAATGTTTGCCGGTAATGTGAGAGACCTTTACATTAAGTGACCACTTGTGGATGGACTCGATGACACATGTCTATGCTTCTATGAGTATCTTCCTATGTACATATACATACATACATACATATGCTTATATATGTTATAATTTTAGGTCAATCAATGACTTTCTTGATTCTAGAGAGCCAATTAAAAATCCTCTATTGTTGGTAATTTGAGTTCATTGAACTAAATACCTGTCTCTTCAGTGACAACTTCCTTGGCTACATCTCCATTTCTCTGGTCAAGAGCTTTCTAACAAAAACAAAAACAAAAAGACGTTTAAACATTACAGTTACAGAGAAAGTAAAGACAAATAAATGCTATCGAGAGACCTTCGAAAATTGCCATCTTTATACCTTATGTTTAGCTTCTGTTCTTGCGGTTCTTTTCATAATCTCCTCAAGTCGCTACAAGAAAGGGAGAATTGAACAAAAGAATCAGATACAGAAAGAAAGCCAGCTGGTACATTTCCCTGATTATTTAAAACATGGCTGTGATTTTGAGGAAATACAATATCCACTGCTGTCTCTTAACTAGAGTTATTTAATAAAATTGGGATGGCTTCACCAGCACAGAGGAAGGGACTGTTTTGGTGAAAGCTGAAATCATGAGTGAGTTCTGTGCAGATCACCCACACTGAGAGCTACTTTAGTTTGTCTGAAACAGCAAGAACACAACGGTTTTCTGATGGCAAGGAGCTGGCCTTCTGGTCCTCGGACTGCTTCAAGCCCACCAGGATGGCCGGTGCCCTGTGCTCTGCTGTTAGATGTAGCTACCTTTTTCCTCTCCCGGCGCTCCTGTTCTTCTCTCTGGCAACGCTCCTCTCGTTCCTGCCGGGCCCTCTCTGCTTCTTCATGAACACGAGCTAGCTCTTCTTTCTGAAAACAAAAGGTTGCCATCTACTTTCTCCAAGCAGGCTGGCTTTGCCTGCTTCCCCTATCTCTTGACAGCACCCACATACTGAGGCAAGATGGCAGATGGAGAACATGTGGAAAATTCACTCACACACACACACCTACCCACCCACCCACCATGGAGTATTTCTAACGATGAAACAGTTAACGTTTTCTTCAGTTCCTCTGACATAACCCTCTTCCTGTCTGGAGCAAGTAGCTGCCTTGAGACTCTAGCCCATGCAGCCCCCCAGCCTAGTGCCTCCTGGGCGCCCAGAGCCTGTACCTGCTTCTGGATGCGCTCCATCTCCTCCCGCTCTCGCTGTTCGCGCTCTTCTGCTTGCCGCCGAAGTTGCTCCTCCTTCTCCCTGGCTTGCTCAGCTTCTATCCGTCGAGCTTCTTCCTCTCGAAGGGTTCTCTCTTCAGCCACCCTTTGAGCCAATTCCTCTCTCTTTTGGCTGGAATTAAGAAGCACAAGAAGAGAACAGTTTGAAAAGAGAGCTGAGTTTGTGGTTACTATAGGGACAGCCTTGTTAAAATGTCTGACAGAAAGTCTTCTCCACTAGGTGAATCCAACATGGTTAACGGATAAAAGGTAACGTCACTCTCTGCACTCTTCCTCTGCTCTCCCTACACTTAATGCCCCCTGTGGAAAGCAGAAGTTGGAAGGAATCTTGATGAGAGTGTATTTTTTATGTTTTCCTTTTTTAAAGATGTGCTATTTAACAATCCTTAATGGATAAGACATATTGAATCTACCATACGTGACCTCAGCCACAAGTTAAGAGCCAAAACAAAGAGGAAGTTTTTACAAATAAATAAAGGTCATGGTGTCCTGTCTTCCACTGAGGGCACATGTTTGGAGTAGTTTTCACAAGGCAGGAGAAGGATGGGCCACAATGGCCCTGTTGGAGCAACAGTACAGGGTCCGGCCTAGATGGCTGCCCAAAACTGAACTGTAGAATTTCTCAAAGGAGCAGTTCTGTTTGTCTGAGGAACGTTTATGTTGACAGTAGTTGCATGTGCCCCAGAAGGTGACTGACTGAACAGACCGTCCTTGGCATGATGCCTGGCGGGCATCTGACCCAGCTACCCTCTGACAGGAATTTGATCTGGAAGGAGACTACATGAACCCTTATTGTTGACTTTTAAAATGATATTAGAATGATAATGAGGAAACATGGAGGTTGAAAATACCTTATGTAATAAAATTGCATAATTGTACCTGTATTGTAGTTACACACAAATACACACCCACATGTACTATACACAGAGACTGAATAGAAGCACCCAAAATGTACACAATTACTGAAAACTGTTACGCTTATGGATATATTTATTTCTTTTAATATTTCTCCATTAATGCTGTTGGGTGGTCACTATAAATAAAATTGTGATTTAAACAATAGTACTGAGCGGTGAGAGGAATACCTATTGAAGATAATTCAGAAACAGCTAAACCTTCATCTTCATCGCTAGTACAAGCTCCTGTCTGAGACTGAAGATTTAATCCAAGGCATCATTATGCCATCACTGATACCAAGTCTGAGCAAGGGTCCCCCCCTTTACCGTTCGAGCTCTTCTCTCTCTTTCCTCTCTTTTTCCTCCTTCTCCCGCTGCTCTCGAGCCAGCCGCCTCTTCTCAGTTAGCAGCCGTGTGGCCTCTTCCGCATCGGTGGTGCCTGCAGAGGTCTTAGTAGAAGGACTGGCAATCACAGAGGGCGATGGGGCTGAGGCTGAGGCTGGAGCAGAGACTGGGGCCGACACTGGGGCTGGGGCTGGAGCAGCTGTACAAATAGGTATAAGGAGAAAATCAACTGGAAACAAAACCCAAAGAACAAAACAAAAACTAGCATTCCCCACACTCCAGGCCTAGAATTCATCACTATGAAAGGGGAATGTTTATTACTTTGTGTTCTCACGGTCGCACTGTATTCTGTCTGTAACCAGGCAACAGATAACAAAAAGCTGCTTGTATAAGTGAGACATCCAAAGAAGCTGACACTCTGTCATCAAGTCTTACTTTTATATAAGTTAAATCTGTTAACAACATATATTAAGTGTATATACTGAAAATACAGAACTTCATGTTAGGTTCTGTGGGAAGTTACATACCTTGTAAAAAGATGAGATCTTCCGCCTGACTTTTGTTGCATTTTTCAAATTCATACTCTTTAGTGACTATTCATTTAGTGGGGGCACTAGAGCCTTTCTGTAACCACTGTCAATGGCCCTGTAATGAGCCTAGATTCAGCCTGGAAGGATGACACCCAACACAGGCTCTCTTGTCTACCCCAAGCCTTCTGAGATGGGGGAAGCCCAACTAGAAGTCTCTTCTAGTTCAGGCTGGTACTCACACTCCTCACACTTCCCGGGCCTCCCTGAGAGTCCCAATGCCAAGATAACAGCTGATGTTCTCTGAACTTATTCAGATTAAGGAAGATGAGTGAGAACACAGGTGCAGCAGGGCACAGAATCACACAAGTCTATACCACCTCAAGGCACTGGTGACAGGTAATCCCCACCATCTGACCATTTATTTCTCTTAAGATTTATGTTGCTGCTTCTTCACATATTTTTCTTTATCATCATGATGCCCCTTGGCCCTCTCTCTCTTTCCATGCAAACAAACATTGAAGTCTATTCCTTTCTAACAATATTTTGTCTTGAATCATCTGTTTTTTCTTTGCCCTTACAGTCTACATTCAAATGAACTCTTAAGGCGGACATTTTTGAATGAGGACGATATTGGATTCCTAGCTCCAGATGGTTCTAAACTTCTCAATGGCATCTGGTTAGCCTGAAAGATATGAGACTCACTGGACCTTTTGGAAACACTTGTTAAGTGCTGTCAAATTCATTCTGACCCATAGCGACCCTGTATAGGGTTTCTGAGAAACAGTTTATCTATGGCAAACATATAGGTTAACACAAATATACATGTTTCCAGGTTTAACTGACCAACCTGTCCTCTACCTGGAAACTCTATATGAGAATCAACCGACCAGCTTACTACCCATTAGAGTTTTGGGATCCACTCCCACATATTCTGATTTAATAGGTCTGATTCAATAAATAGCAGATTCAAATAGGGATCTGTATTGGAAACATGACAGATGTGGTGGATTAAAAAGATTTCCCCTAAAATCTTTGAAGCTATTTCCTTCAAAATATTGAAAAGAAGTCCTTTCCCTTAAGTGTAAGCTGGACTTAGTGACTTGCTTCTAATGAAGAAAACATGGCAGAAATACTGGTGTGTGACTTTGAAGACTCTGGTTTCCTCCCTCTCCTGGATTACTCACTCTGGTAGAAGCCAACGAAGGCAGCAGACAGACTGTCAGTACAGTAAGCAATCCTTTGGAGTGGTCCACATATCATGAAAATGAGGCCTCCTGACCACAGCCATGAGTGAACCACCCTGTACACCCACCAGCCCCAGTTGAGCCTCTGGTGAATGCAGCCCTAACAGCTTAGCTGCAATTTCATGAGCACCATCCAGCTAAACTACTTGTAAATCTCTGGTGCAAGCAATTGCATAGTATAATAAATGCTTGTTGTTGTTTTAATCTCAACTGACACACACGTTCTGAGCACAGTCTTCTGTGAAACAGAATAAAAGAACTCAGAAACCATGCCTGGATTAATGTATTATGGTTTCAATAATTGGCTTTGGAATTATGAATCTCCTGTCTTTATACTTAAGAAAACCAACCCTACTGCCATTGATCCCTGCTCATAGTGACCCTACAGACAGAGTCCAACTGCTCCTTAGGGTTTCTCAGATTGTAAATCTGTATAGAAGTAGACGGTATCATTTTTCTCCTGTGGAGTTTCTGGCTGGAACTGACATCTGGTCAGTGTTCAATGCTTAAGCCACTGTGCCATCAAGGCTCGTATGCTTAAAAGAAAAGGTCTTAAAATCATTGTCAAATTAGAATCTCCAAGTTCCCAATGAGACAAGAAATATTCAAGGCAAGAGAGTGAAGAGAGTGAGTGTGCCTACCACACCCACAGTTCATGACAAGTCAGTTGTCCTTACCAGGGGCGGCCTCTGCCTCCACAGGTGTCCCTTCTTCACCTGTGGACTCTTCTACCTTCACTAAAGGTGCCCTGCCCTTTAGTGCAGGCTCATTGGCAACTTTCAGAGGTACTTTCTCTGGGTCTTTCTTCTCAGGTTCCAGCTTGACTTCCCTCTTGACAGGGCGGATGTTGCCGGGGGACAGGGGTCGGGCCTGAGCTTTGATGGAGCCAGGCTGCAAGGAGGATGTGGGTCTGGGGGTGCCGGGCAAATGAGGGAGGGACTTGGATGGCAGCCTGGGCAAGAAACAAGGTGAAAAGAAGGCGACACATCAGAATAGGCTTCCCGGAACCTTCCTTCTCCTGATCTTTGCCACGTAGCAGTCCCTAGGGTGCCAATTTATGACAAAGAAAGTAACAGATTTGGAAGACATGTATTCTGGGACTCAAAGATCATGGAGATGGCACAGAATCAGGCAACATTGCATTCTGTCAAACACAAGCTTGCCATGAGCCAGAGCTGACTCGATGGCCACTAACAACAACCATGTATCCTTTATGTGGCAAATGCAGAAATATGTTCACTTTAGAGTCATTCAATTTATCCCCCTTTCCTTTCAGAAAGAATGTTTGTCCCCATGTCAAAGCCAAGCAGAGTAGACAGAATAGATCCTTTCAGAACACAGAGGCCATGTGGTTGCACCACAGGCAACAATCAAGCCAGCCTCTTCTATCTCAACTTACCAAAGTCGGGAGGAAGCAGGCGATCTTGCTTTGGGATGAGATGGGGATAATGCCCTTCTGACACCGGATGTAAGGTGGAAGGGTACATTTTCTCTTTCTTTCTCTCTTTTATAACCCTAAGTTCACAGAAACACAGTAATCAGATTTCCCAGAGTGAGATAATCACAGTGTTTAACAGTGGAATTAATTCATTTTATGTCTTCTTGGAAAAAGTGTAAATACTGTCACATATATATAACCTCATGTGCATGCGAAAGCTGGAGAGTGAATAAGGAAGACTGTAGTAGAATTGATGCTTTTGAGTTATGGTGTTGGAGAAGAATATTGAAAGTGCCATGGGCTGCCAAAAGAACCAATAGATCTGTTTTGGAGGAAGCGCAGCCAGAGTGCTCCTCGGAGGCCAAGATGGCCAAACTTTGTCTCTCATACTTTGCACGTATTGTCAGGAGGGACCAGTCGCTGGAGAAGGATATCATGTTTGGTAAGGTGCAGGGTCAGAGAAAAAGAGGAAGACCCCCAACGAGATGGATTGGCCAGGTGGCGGCATCGATGGATTCAAGCGTGGCAACAGGAATGAGGTTGGCCCAGGAATGGGCAGTGTTTCGTTCTGCTGTGCATAAGGTCGCTATGAGTCGGTACCAACTCCAATGGCACCTAACAACAACAACAACATACTCAGTTCAACCCAATAAAAATTTGTTTGCTTACAATGGAAAATTGTAACTGAGTTAACAATGCGATGTTGGACAGAAGTTTCTGCATGTATGATCTGTGTTTTTTGTGTGTGAAAAAGTTACACTTAATGTTTAGAGAAGACCGATATGGAGTCCTGGTGTGGCACTGTGGGTTAACACGCTGGACTGCAAAACCATTTGAACTGCAAGGTCGGCAGTTCAAGCTCACCAGCTGCTTCTCAGAAACCCTATATAGGGTTGCTATGAGTCGGAGTCGTTTCGACGGCACTTAACAACAAAAAATATGTGAATTTTAGGTCAAAGTTCATTGGAGCAAAATCTTTTAGTTGGCTTTACTCCATAAAAATGGCAAAATGAACACAATGACAGTTCTGTCAGTTTTTCTCACCTTTCATTGTTTTTAATATGTCTGTTATATCAGATGTTGTAGTTGTAAAGTGCCATGGAGTCTGTTACAACTCACAGGGACCCTGAATAGGGTTTTAAAGGAGCAGCTGCTGGGTTTTAATCTCTTGGAGTATGAATTTTTGTTTTACCTACAAGAAATTTTTCCTTTGGTAAATGCTCTCTTTCCCTCCCTAGTGGGGAACCAATGCTTGGCACCACAGCTACTCGGTGCAACAATAGGTTTTGTCTGTAGTTAAGATATTAAAGCACCACCATGCTGATGAATTAAAACTGCACAGACATCAAAGGATGGTTCACCTTGGGTTTAAAGGTCTGACTCAATCAAGAATTAAACACTGACTCTTGAAAGCCTCCAGGGGCTTGAAAGAAAATTGCCTGTAGGCAAAACCATCAAGCTTTTACAACCCTTGAATTATCCTCAAATGTCTAAGCAAAATCCTTTTAAGTGTCCATCAGCTTTGTAAATCTGAGCTACTCTGGGAAGTTAAGATTTTAAAAAAATCGGTCCAGACTTTCATTAAAGGAGTCATACTATTATCATGAGAAGAGAAGCAGTCAGATCTTCTGTTTGATAGGTAAATCCTTTAAAACCAAAGTACAATGTCTGAAGACCAGAGAACAATGTCTGTATCTAGTAACAGACAGGAGAGAAACACAGAGTAAAACAATGAAGAAGAATGATTCCAGGAGACACACAAATGACCTCATTACATTGACAGCATGTGAAAATTAACATTAGCTCAGTCACCAGCAGGTACTAACAAGCATAAATCACATTCTCCACTTCGCAGATTTTGTATTTGTAACATAACCTAACAGCCTTTCAAGAATCAGTTACATAGAAAAAAAAAACCTAAAAAGAGTGTTTTCAGAATACTTTTAAAAAAGTTTTTCAACTATATTTAAGATCTAGGCCTTGACAGGGATTAGATAAGAAGATGTTTTTTATTTTACACTTTAGTGAACCAAATTTAGAAAAAAAGCAGCCAGGCTCTAAACATGATTGGATTAACAATGCTGAGGCCCCATCCAGGCCCGCTGCGCCTCCCAAGGTCACTGGGCTTTCTTCATCTCAAAATGAAAGCTCTCTGACAGTCAGTGCATTCCTTCTGTATGAAGGTTTCCTCCAGGCAGGTCAGGCACTCACATGTTCGAACAAAACACACACACAGTTTTCATCTTCACATTCAAATCTTTGTGCATAGGAAAGTCCCCACGTGGAAAGGAAGTCTAATGACTTCGCCTTGGCAACCGGTGGAGTGGTGTCCACTCTGCTCCTGAGCTACTCACCGCCGTGCTGTGAATGGTCCTCCTCCGCGCAGAGCCCTCAGGTGTGGTTACAAAGAGTTTTGGTCGCTCCATTAGATTTCTAGCATGTGCAGCTTTGTAGGGCATGATGTTGATGGGGCTGCAAGATGCTGAACGAGGACAAATGGGGATAACTAGGGTGCAGATGATTTTTTTACACACAAGAGTGCCAGAGGAGCAATGGGAGGAAAGCCAAAAGCAGGTTCAGGAAAAGGAGCAAAGCAGAAATAAAGAAAAAAGTAGGAAGAAGAGGTTATTAACTAAAGGTACCCAGAACCATCACACTCAACTCGCCTCATGGTAGTATGAGTTTATGATGTGGCCAAAATGCAGGCATGCTACAACAAAAAGCATGGGAATATATTATTAGCTATTTAGAAACAGATTAAAGATAAAGATGTAATACAATAATAATGAAGACAATGACCTTATATTCCTATCAACTGATGGTTCCGGTAAAATGCTATGTTAACTATAAAAGGTACTTAATGTAAGTACCAGTCTGTAATCAGATTTTTCCTAATTGAAGTGGAAACAGAGGAAGCGAGCAAGCAGGCAAGCAAGAGACACAACTATTCTAGGAGTAAAGTTCAACAGCCAACGGGAAACAAGGCAACTGCAGTTTTACAATGTTAAATGACCAAGTCTTACCAGGTGTTAAGACTTGTTATAAGGATAATGTATAATTTTCAGGTGAAAAAAAATCTGTAAATGTTTCCTCTATTTAAAAGTAAATCAAATGCATGCTACTTAGTTCATAAGAAGCAGTAGCTGAACTAATTATCTCTGGGGACATTATAATGATTTAAAAAACAGAACAAAATATTACACTTGAACAACAACAAAAAAGGTTGAATCATGACTAGCCTAGCTTTAAAGAAACTAGAAGTTTCTTAAATAAAATCCCCATATAATTTCTGATAATCCACTTTTAAAATCACACTGTCATTAACTGATTCTGAGCAACAATAGGTTTCAAGAAATACATATACATATCAAAAGTGTGGAAACTAAAATTCTAACGTTCATTGTCAAATCTCATGCAGAAATCTTGTTTTTCCAGCCAAGTAAGACAATATGGAGTCCTAGTGTGGAGATGAAGGTTAATGTGCTGGACTGCAAAGTTGGTTTGAACCACAAGGTCAGTGGTTCAAACTCAACAAGCTGCTCCTTGGAAACCCTACACAGGGTTGCTATGGGTCAAAACTGACTCAACAGCATTAAACAACTACTAAGTTGGAACTTATTCAATGGCCATACAACACCACCGAGGACATTGTTGTTGTTAAGTGTTGTCGAGTCTGTTCTGACACATAGCAGCCCAGCCCTGTGTACGCTTTCCTAGGAGCAACTGGTGAGTTTGAACCACCTACCTTGTGGATCAAACCAACCTTGAGGTCGAGTGCTTATCCTACAGCGCCACACCAGGACTCCCCACTAAGGATGGTGGTGTTGGTGTTGGTTATGTGGTTATGGGCCGTGGAGTCTGTTCTGACTCATAGAGATCCTGTACAGGGTTTCCGAGGCTGTAAATCTTTATGGGAGCAGAAAGCCTCATCTTTCTCCCGCGGAACAGCTGGTAGTTTCGAACTGCTGACCTTGAGGTTCGCAGCCCGATTTGTAACCACTACACTACCAGAGCTCCTTGCTACTATGTATTTGGTACATATTATAAAATGACTTTACCCAACTCTAGCCATGACTGTTGTTGTGTAAAAAGTTATCATGTCTGCTGAATGTACTATTGTTGTTTAGTGCCGTTAAGTCGGTTCCGACCCATAGTGACCCTGTATAGGGTTTCCGAGGAGTAGCTGGTGAACTTGAACTGCCAACTTTGCAGTTCAAATGGCTTTGCAGTCTAGTGCATTAACCCACAGTGCCACACCAGGACGCCACTGAATGTTCTAGTATTAATAAATTAAAACCTCAAAAGTTCATAAGAATATTTGGTGTAATCTTAATTTCAGAATTATATGAAGCTTAATAAAAAACACTGTAATTTCAGTTTTAACCTGTAGACGGATATAGATGAGATTTCAAATTAATTAATGCAGCTTGTTTCCTTAAATGCCTGACAGTATCTTCAGGTTATTACTGAAGGATCAAGGCAGTAAAGAGATAAGAAACTGCACTTTCTTTTCTCATCAGGGAACACCAGAATTGTTTCTTCATGATAAAATGAAAACACTGTAATCCCTTCTTTCTTCTTTCAAAAACATACATGTTTTAAGAATTGATAGAACACTTTGCTTTCAACTTTAATGGTGAAGGAAGGATTGCTTGTATCCTAAGGATGAATTTCTTTTTCCTCTAGTGGAAAAAACTGTTTCAGGAGGTTATCTATGGAACATTTTCTAAAATCCATTCTGGATGCAAGCCAATCGCATTATGATTTCTTGGTTCATCCTTTTTTCAAGTTCATCCTTTATTATAATGCCGAGGATGACAACATCCTTAAGACTAGTGTGGCACTGTAGAGTAAGCACTGGACTACAAAGGCCAGTTTGAACCACAAGATCAGCAGTTCAAACTTACCAACTGCTCGTTGGAAACCCTATACAGGGTCGTTATGAATAGGAACTGACTTAACTGTGCTTAACAATAACAACAACTCTAATGTAGTCTACATAAAAATTCTCAACTTTCATTGTTCAGTGACCACCTTCTGACTAAAATAAACAATATAAATTCTTTCTAGAAAAGGTTATTACATTTCATGAAATTCATTGTTGTTTTAAACAGTCACTTCCTATGAACAGCCTGAGACCTTTAAATCAATTAATCTAATAATTTTGCCTGTCTGAAGAAATTAGAGCAATGAATAGCTTTGCTTTCTTTCCCAGAGCGTTCTCCATACCCCAAAACAGTCATCTCATGGAAAGGTCTTTGGAAAGTCAAAGGAGCAATACTTGTATTTTCCTCCTACCCTTGAGAGCCAGTGTCCATTAAATCATTCAAGATTTTCAATATGAAATAGTAGGTGTAGAAGAAAGATAATGCAGTTCAAATGGTTGTGGAGTGCAGCATAAAGAATAGAAAAATTGCATAAGAAAATAAAAATACTGACATTTATTGAGTGCCTAATATGTACAGGAAGGAGCTCTGGTAGCGTAGTGGTTACAAATCAAGCTGCAAACCACAAGGTCAGCAGTTCGAAACTACCAGCTGTTCCGCAGGAGAAAGTTGAGGCTTTCTGCTCCAGTAAAGATTTACAGCCTTGGAAACCCTATACAGGGTCGCTATGAGTCGGAACCGACTCCACGGCACATAACAACAACAACAACAATATGTACAGGTACTATTCTAAGCAATTAATACATTTATCTCATCTAATCCTGAAATTTAATAATCGTATGTATTTTAAATGTTCCAGAGGGAGAAGGGGAGAGAAGGGGCATGGGAAGTCAATTCAAATAGTTGTAATAAATGGGAGGTATAAGGCTCTGATTTCCTATTCTCAACTACTCTATCGCTAGCTGAAGGGGTGTGCAATCACGGAATAGCCCTGGTGGGGTCAAGGATTCCATTTGATCTGCTAATATAACTCGGGTCCCAGATGTGGGTAACCTCTTGCCAATGGCAACTTTGAATAAGATAAAGGTAGGGTACATCATTAAATGGAAGACAAAAAAAATAATCACAGAGACTAGATGGAAAAATAAAGTCGATGGAATACTTTTAAGATAACTAGAAATGAAGTTTACATACATAATTCCAAATTGAAAAAAAATTAAATTAAAACTAATTAAGCATAAGCTGCATTAATGCAATAAGTAACAATGATATAAGAAATACATCAATGAAGTTGGCAACTCAAGTAAGGAATGTGGATAGTTTCACACTAAAATCAATCACAGATTGATTTGTGAAAAGGAGAATGGAACGTTGGAAAGTACAGAAGAGCCAGTGAGCAGATAAAAAACACCTGGATTGAGCAAAACAATGAAGAAGGGAGGTAGGAAGACAGGCGAGTAGACTGAGTGGAAAATGAGGACATGGTGTTGGAAAAGACTAGAGAAAGAGTGAAAGAATTGACACATTAGTGATGACAGAAAAGGAACAACAGACAATTTTCTCCTACACAAGGAAGTCCTTTAGCACAAAACAACATACAATGTGAAGATTCAGAAGCATGGTAGCCAGAAACAATATACAGAGATCATAAAACAGGGCTGGAAAACAATTTTAAAGATTCTTCAATTGACTAAACATGAAGAAAAACATTCTTCACTTGTAAAAAAGTACCAAATTTGTAGGGGCAAATAATAAACTATTTTGAAATAAGTCATACAGTTGCCTCCGGAACAGTCTCAGCGCAGTAGGTGATGTTTCCAGTAATGGGAGAGTTACTTTTTATGAAACAGGGAGCACTGCAGTCTAGCGAGTTGACAGCACAATTGTGCAAGAGCATCTTCCAGCTCCTGAAGACGGGTGGGTAAGCACATTTAGGGTCCACTCTATTGCTTTTCCAAGTGGCTCTGGTGTAAATCACTTATTTTCTTACGCTCGATTTCCATAAGTAGATGGTGGGAATACCCAACATTTACTTCCTTGAATATTCTCCAGGGGTATTGTGGGAATTAGTTAGTATTCATTAGCTCGTTGGAGCTGTAGACGAAAGATACCTAAAATCCCAAGAATCATTATGTATAGAGGGGGCTAATGAAGAAGAGGCTTGCAAAGGCAAAGCATTTCTTAAAGGCACTTTATGAAGATGGCATGTAATTTCCTACCTGCCAAAAGTGAAGGCTGGTAGACTAGCCAGATAGGTATACCAAGTGTTTCCAACGATACTTAGGAAAACCTGAATCAATTCACCACCAGAAAGAGGTTACCAAAAACCTAATAGGTATCTTTCTTTCCAATTAGATAAGGGATCTAAAATACCCTATCATTAAATGAACTGGCTCATTGAGGCATACTTTGAGCATTATTAAAAAGTAGAGGACCTGAACTAACTATAATAACCAGTACTTGGCTTGTTTTACATATTTGCAAAGAATGTACCAGATAAGCCTATAATCAGCTTTCACCAGAACCTTTATAATTTTGGAAAGCTATTATTTCTAGATTACACATAAAAGACGAGCACAGGGAGGATAAGTAGATAGCCCAGAGCCACATTAGGAAATGATGTTTGAATAATAAGCTTGTGCACTTTGATTTTATGCCCAAGTCCATGTATTAGTCTTAAATATTCAATTGTTTCTACCTCTGATCATCTGCTCTGATGCAGGGGCAGAAAGAAAGGTAGGTAAGGTATACTGTTTCCAGGTAACCTTATGAACAGAAGCATCTCAGCCATATGATCACAGGGAGGGGCCTCCTTGGTCTGCCTGGCGTCTGGTGTCCAGATAAGATGCTGAGACTTAGACAAGGAAACAATGCCAGGGGCATGAAACCAACACCAGCAGACACATTTCCAAAGCCAATGCACCCGGAGCAGAGAGAAGCACACATCAGGAAAAGCTGAAATGTGATTAGATGAGTACTGGCTGCTGACACATGCTCTGGAAGGAGGACCTGACCTCACCAGGGAGATTCCCGATGACAGTTTTACCTGCATCTCCAGACAAAGCGGCTGTGCTTTTACTTCTGGCCAGGAACGAGTGTGTGGGCGTCAGGAGTCTGTTAACAATGCTGCTCTCCCACGGGCTGAGTTGCAGGCGGCGAGCTAGATGTCACCACATAAGCAAGAAGTTAGACGCATTCTTTTCAGAGCCAAGAGGGTGCAGAACATCACACTTATCGCTTCCATATGTCTAGCCTTGGAGAGAGACCCAGCTCTTCAGGGAGGACAGGTGGCCAAGAGTTAGGTAACAGTACTCCTGCCCCAAATGGGCTGCTAATGCACACTGTTACTGCCTTTTAATAAAAAGATGTTAAGTTTGTGGCAAACACTACATTACTTTCACAGACCCAGGTTTTTCTAACCACCCTCTTGGTAGTTAACAGGTAATAAATTATAAAAATGTTGACTACAGGCTTAGTGGGTATTACTTCTGACACCAAGTTGTACCTATCTGATGGTCACCATGATGGGCAGATGGGCAGTATAGACGTTAGCCCAAAGGTTTCCTAAGTATCTTGAATAATAAGCACCAACAGAGGCTTTGGACTATTAATGGAAGATAAGATTTGTATAAAAGACAGAAAAACAAACAAACCACCCCATTAAATTATTCTAGCTTTCTATGAATTTCTATGAATTGGGGTAGCAGTGAAGGGTATGTGTGTTGAATTCAACATAATACAACGAAAGAAGAAAGTCAGGTATGAGATTTCTTTTTTTTGACTTGTGTATTCAGCTAGTCAGGTTCCCTTAGGTCCTTGTTTGGCAACAACATAAACAGTTAAGGCTGAGGATATAAGTTCAAGGCTAGTGAGTACTTGAAGAACCTAGAAGGCAAAGATTTCTTACATGCCATTAAGTATGGTCCCAAATCATATGATACATTGGAAGATAGCTGATCAGAAAGACAGAACAATTATAATTAATTACTTTGCTTATAATATTAGTTTCCAGTGATGTTGTTGTTAAGTGCCGTTGAGTTGCTTCTGACTCATAGTGACCCTGTATAGGTTTTCCAAGGAGAACAGCTTGTGGATTTGAACTGCCGATTTGTGGTGCACAGTCCAGTGCTGATCCTACCACACCAGGACTCCATAGAAACAGAGAGGCTATTTTCCAAAATTATCAGGAGGAAAGCTTGCAAAAATCCTATAAATATCACTAAAGGGATCACATGGCTCTATTTTAGAACACACTCAAGTCACATCAGTTGTTAGTAAGTAGTCGAGTCAGTTTTGACTTATAGTGACCTTGTGTTGGGTTTCCTAGGAGTGGCTGGTGGGCTTAAAATGCCCACCTTTTGGTTTGGTTTAGTACAGTGTGGCACTGTGGGTTAATGCGCCAAACTGCAAAGCTGTTTGAACTGCAAGGTCGATGGTTCAAGCTTAGCAGCTGCTCCTCAAAAACCCTACAGAGGGTGGCTATGGGTTGGAATCAACTCGATGGCATGTAAGAGCAAGAAACCTGAGTAGGTCACTTGTCTTCTGCACCATAAACAGTAGGTGTTAAGTGTTGTAATCTCTGGATCAAGTGTTATTCCAGCAATCTTCCAAATGCCCTATTTTAAAGGAATGACCTTTAAAGTCTCAGAAATTCATTTCACTTTGTAAGCCCTGGTGTGGCGTTGTAGGATAAGAACTGGATCCCAAGATCTATTTGAACCCCAAGGTCGTGGTTAAAAACTCACCAGTCACTCCTCAGAAACTCTATACAGGGTTGCTATGCATCGAAACCCGCTTGACAGCACTTAACAACAATTACAAGTAGCAGAGCTGTACAGAAGCGGTCCAGGTGGATGGCAGCCCAGATGGTATTGAAGTCTCAATTTAACATCATCTTTAAGGTCTGTGCTGAGGTTAAAAAAGCTCAAACTATCTAGTAATTATGTAGGCTCCTCCTAGATAAATTTGTCTATAAAGGCTCCAAATTTAAGAACTTGGCAAGAATGCTAATTAGATAATAAAGTACAGCCAAGTTCCAAAAATAGCAGGAAAAAATGCCCCCAAATTTGCATGACTTAAATATTAAAGAAGTTCAAATCTGGAATGATCTCATTTATTCCCAAAAGACCTTAGCCTCTTACTATTATACTAAGGGTTTTACTTATTATTATTATTTTAAAATAGTTTCCTAGAATAAAATCAAAATGACAAAAATCAAGTAAATTTTATAGGAAGTGACGGGAGATGCACAAGAACATCCAAACTTGCAGACAGTACTCATTTGACCTAGCCTCGATAGCTTGATAATCAGAACTCAGAAGATTTAAAAAAAAATGATAAAGGAAACAAGGGTGAATTGCTACAATTTGATGAACTTGACCTATACTCATGGATGTAGTAGCTCAAAATACCAACAGAGAGAGGGAAGGAATCTTCACATCAAGTATCAATGCTATCCCCTCTGTATTCAGGGTAGATAGGGATGGGGAACTTAGACATTGGCTACCTAAATTGATGGGGTAGTAAAGGCATGAAGTGACTTGCTTACAAGTTTTCAAGAGGGAGTTTAGTTTAAGAGTGTGGTGGGGGGAGAGGGGGGAGATAGAGTCCCTATTGAATAGTGCTTATCTTGTCTAGATAGATCTGGTGAAAAGAGATGGGGGTAAGATCCTTGTGATTCAATAGTAATTGTTATCATGACAAATTGAAACTGTCACAATTTTAAAGGCAGAAGTTTTGTAACAAAAATGAGGGAGTAGTTAATCTTACAGTCGAGAAACAGAGGACCCTAAGACCACCAAGGGAGAAGAGCACAAGGGGAATGCAGGACCCTATCCAGAGAAGTAGCGACACCTGAGATGGAGGCAGAGATGGGGACATGGAGAGATGGAGCAGCTGAGGACTCTAGATGCATGGGAAGAGAGGGACTGGCGGCTAGGAAGTACTGGTGGCTGGGAGGCAGGCTTGCAGAATGTGCCCTTTGGTGGTTGAGAATAGAGAGAAATACTGTTTTGTTTTGTTTTGTTTTTTGTACATGGTACATGTACATGTAGGGGTCATGGAAGGGATGATAATATTTGTAATGAACCAAGTATATGATTTGTTGAATGTAAAACTGATGATCTGCCCTGTAAACTTTCACTCAATCACAATAAAAACATAAAAACAAAACAAAACAAACAAATCCCAAAGCAACAAATAGTTTCCTGGACCATAGCCAACTCCTGTATGCACTGACTCTTCCCTGCAGGCTGGTCTTGGCTGTCAGACCCACTAACTGGTTCACAGTGCTTTTGTTAAGGGCGCAGACAACTTTCCCATTCCAGGGTCTTCCTCCTGCCCTATTGTTCCAAGCTAATTTCCTAGGCCTGCTCCAGGATTCAAGGGGGTGTTTCCTGGCCCCAGCTTCTCTAAATTGGCTATGGAACCTCTCTTGATCATGCTGTCCTGACTCCTCACTTCTCACCTTACCCAAAGGAGGGCTGTATGCAGTTAAGAGTCAAAACGAGGAAAGAACCTGAAGGTAAGTACTGAAGAGGCAGCAGAGCAACAGAATGGGTGGAGCTAGTGATCTCTCTTCTAGTCTTTCATATACGACAAGCCTGTAGGATATCAAGTCAGACCCTTGACCTTTTATTGTTGTTAGGTGCCATTGAGTGGGTACCGACTTATAGCGAACCTATGCACAAGAAAGCGAAACACTGTCTGGTCGTGGGCCAACCTCACCAATTGTTGCCACACTTGAGCCCACTGATACTGCCACTTTGCCAATCCATCTTCCTGGGGGTCTTCTTCTTTTTCTCTGACCCTCCACACTACCAAACATAATATGCTTCTCCAGTGACTTATCCCTTCTGACAATATGTCCGAAGTATGAGAGATGAAGTTTGGCCATCCTGGCCTCCAAGGAGCACTCTGGCTGCACTTCTTCCAAAACAGATCTGTTTGTTCTTTTGGCAGCCAATGGCACTTTCCCAATATTCTTCTCCAACACCATAACTCAAATGCATCAATTCTTCTACGATCTTCCTTATTCACTGTCCAGCTTTTGCATGCATACAAGGTTATTGAAAATACCACGGCTTGGCTAAAGTGTACCTTAGTCCTCAAGCTGACATAACACTTCAAAAAGGTCTTGTACAGCAAATTTGCCTAATGCAACACATCATTTGATTTCCTGACTGCTGCTTCAATGAGTGTTGATGGTTAATTCAAGAAGAATGAAATCCTTGACGACTTCAATCTTTTCTCCACTGATAAGAATGTTGTTTATTGGTCCAGTGGTGAGGATTTTTGTTTTCTTTACATTGAGATGCAATCTATACTGAAGGCTGTGGTCTTTTCTCTTCATCAGTAAGTGTTTTAAGTCCTCTTCACTTCCAGCAAACAAGGTTGTATCATCTGCTTATCGCAGGTTGATAATGAGTCTTCCTCCAATCCTGATGCCATGTTTTTCTTTATATAGCTCAGCTTCTCGGATTATTTGCTCAGCATACAGGTTGAATAAGTATGGTGAAAGAATACAACCTTGTCGTACACCTTTCTTAATTTTAAACATTCATTGTTTCCATGTTCTATTCGAACAACTGCTTCTCGGTCCATGTACAGGTTCTTCATGAGAACAATTAAGTGTTCCGGAATACTCATACATCGCAATGTTGTCCATAGCTTGTCATGATCCATACAACTGAAAGCCTCTGAGTAGTCAGTAAAGCACAGGTAAACATCTTTCTGGTATTCTCTGCTTTCAGGATCCAATGGATCCATAGGACATCAGCAATGATATCCCTTGTTCCACGGCCTCTTCTGAATCTGGCTTGAACTCTGGAAGTTCTCTGTCAATGTATGCTTCCAGCCACCATTTCTGTATTACCTTTAGTAAAACTTTACTCGCATGGGATATCAAAGATACTGTCTGATGATTTCCGCATTACGTTGGGTCACCTCTCTTTGGAATGGGCACAATTTCAGATTGAAGAAGTTGGTTGAATTCTTCTGTTTCATCCTTACTGTCTTTAGTGGTTGGTGCATAAATTTGACTAATAGTGATATTAACTAGTCTTTCCTGTAGGCGCATAAATATTATCCTATCACAGACAGTGTTGTACCTTGTAACTGAAACTGGAGTAGATGATCCTATAACTTCTCAGATCTCAGAATTCTATTTTCTTAGAAATATCTAGGAGTCCTTGTGTGGTACTGTACGGGTAAGCTGTGGACTGCCGCTCCTTGGAAACCCCATACAAGGATGCCATGAGTCAGAACTGACTTGATGACACTAACAACAACAACAAGGATATCAATTGGATACTATTATGTAGAACCAATAAAAGGCCTTCTTATCTCTGACAGACAGACAAGCTGCACACTGGTATTCTCCAGAAGTGTGGACTGGATATTGTCTAGTTTATGGTCCATCTCCCATGTCCATCGTGATCCCAATATCAGCTCTGGGGCTGCAGGAGGCAGTAAGCCATGTTAACCTTTAAAGTACTGTAAAATCCTAACTGTAGTCTGTCTTGGACCAGATTACAAAAGCATGAAATTAAAGTAATAAATCAGTGATGAATTCCAAAGATAGTATGAATAGAGAACTATAGGAATAGCATTTATATTCTATATTTTACAGTATATTAAGGAAATGGGTTTGAAAATAACAGCTATTTATGGGAAGGAATCTTAATTCATAATAACTCCTCTAACACGAATAACACTACCTAGATTACATGTCTAATATTGATTTTTGAAGAAATGATTTAGGTAAATTAGGTAAAAGAATGTAATTATTTCAGTCAAAAGGCAAGAACAGCAACTTGTTCAAACATTTACAACTTTAAGAGATTACTTATAAAATAACATCAACACTTACATTATATTGTACAGTACAATGACACCATAATTTTCATGCAATATGAAATATACGAATACATATACACACATCCAGAACATGCACACATTATATTCTTTTTAAAGACTATAAATAGTGAACCTTTCCTAATCAGTTTAACAAACTACTCAAATTAACTACAATTTGCTATTTCTGAAAAGTTGCCCTCTGATATTGCACAATAATGCTTTGGTTTTTGATTTATGTAAAACAAGTAGTTTATCCTAAAAGCTTGGATTTTTCTTCTGCAATACTTAAATATATGAAATAATTTCATTTTCTGAATAAATTAAACATTCATGTACTGTAAATCCATCAGATGAATAAAATGAAAAATTTAAATAAAATGTTAAATGGAGGACTATGATTATTAATCTTGTTAGGAAACTGTAATGATGATGACACTTTTGAAGTTAGGCCAAATTCTTTCAGAGTACATGAATGGACACCAAAAACCAAACACACATACTAGAAATGCAATAAGAAATGTTGGGTTAAATGAGAAATACACTGATAATATGAAGTCTACCAACATGAATCATTTAAAAAATTTTCTTTTTTTTTTTAAAAGAAAGTCGAAGCCTGGAATTCCCAAAGTACAGATGAAAAGCCAAAAACTGAAGTCAAATAGATGTTCATAACAAGGATTATTTGCATTGTGGTGGGTAAGTGGGCGATTTCTGGAGCTGTGAACTCATTTACTAGGGAGAAGCACCGCTTTCATCACTGCCACCATTCATCAATGCCACCATTCAGCCAAGTTCTACAATGAGAAACGTTCTTGTCCCAAGGAAAACGCTGCTCAGCCGTTTATTGCTTTTTTACTCTGAAGCTTTTTTCTTCCTATTTAAGAAACGTAGGGAAAGCAACTTCAGATGCTTATTATTATCTGTAAACATCCAGGAAAAAAAAAAAAAAAGTATTAAGCAGAGAACAGAACACTTTTTTGCTTTCCTTTTGACTGTACCTCTGTCTGGAGAATTGAGTAACGTTGCAGAAGAAGAGGAGAGCCGCTTGCTAATGACAGGATCAACATGTTTCGAAAGATTCATGGTGGAAACTGACCGCCTGTCAGGATCTAAAACAAATGGAGAGAATGCTAATTGACAAGCAGCATGTAGTATTGCAATTTCCTAGTTCTCGGATGGAAGGAAAAACGAGGTGTGGATGCTTCCAGCTCTATCACTAGATCTTTCATTAACAGCACAGTTTCCTATGTGGACATCTTAAAGGCAACTTAAAGGCTAGAAATAAATTTCATTTTTCTTATAGGACAAAATAAATATTTAGTGCACCAGTTTGTCAGCCATGGAAATTCAAGGATACTGTTATAACACAATAAATGGGTAAAAACAAAAGGAAGGCTAGTGGAGGGCTACTATGATCAGGGAGTCTGACTGGACAGTACATTTAAGACAATGGACAATGAAAGCGAATGCCTTGAAATTTTCAAAGTAGGAGCAATGTGGCAATAATGAGAAGCAAAAAGGAGCAACAAGGCGAAACCCCAGCAGCTGATTAGTCTGCTTTAGCTGTTGGTGACCGCGTGTGTATCAGAGTGGAATTGTGCTTCCCAGGGTTTTCAATGGTTGTTTCTTGGAAGTAGATTAGACCTTTCTTCCAAGGTACTACTAGGTGGACCTGACCCTCCAACCTTTTGGAAAGCAGCAGAACACTTCAGTTTTTGCCACCCAGGGAATTCCGGGGGTAATATTTTGTTGTTGTTGTTATGTGTCACTGAGTAAGTTCTGACCCATTAGTGACCACATATAGGGTTTCAAAGGAGTGGCTGGTGGCTTTGGAGTGCCAACCTTGCAGTTAGCAGTCCAGTGCTTATCCTACAGCACCACACCAGGACCCCATAGTGCTGGTAAAACAGAAGAAATACACTGGGATAAAATACATGACATTCTGTGTGTTTGTTGGTACCTTTGCTTACAGTCATTTTACCCAGGACATTGGAGTTCAATTATGAAGAATACAATTTTTTACAAAAAGAAGAGGAAAAAAGAAACACTTCAGGTGTGCAAAAGGAAGACTGTTGAAGTATTTCTTTTTAAAATATCTACTAATAATCATGCTTCTGTGCCTGTAACACAGAGTCTAGTGTGGTTTACAAGGGTAGAACCTGAACACAATCTTCTCCAACCAAACTGACAACAATATAAGTAAATCAGAAATCTTTTCTCTAAATTTAGGAACAATATCAATGTTCATTTTGTAACTGGTCAGGTAATATTAGAATAATATTCTTATATTCATGTTTTATATGATAACAATAGCCACATAAAAGGCAAAACCAGCTGTTAGTGTTTTATCGATACGCTGGAACAAAATTGTAACTAACCAACACAAATCATGCTCTATGCACAAAACTGAATATAACAGAAGTCTTAAAATATTTATCAGGGCTGTAGGAGAATGTTCTGATTTATAATAATCAAAGTTCAAAGGGATTTTACTATTTTATTTTTTAATAGTGTCTTCTAAGATGAAAACTGAAAATATGCCTTGTAATAAATGCCTTGTAAACCCAGTTCCCACTGGTCTAACTAACCTTGGCAGTAAAGATTTTACAGTGAACTTTCTCCAGATGATGACTTTTTTTACTACTATTTACAGAAAACGAGCTATAAACAAGCCTTCCATCAGCATCCGGCATTGGTATCTCCTACTGGGACCCAGTTTTATGGGTGAAGCAATTTTATTCAAAAACACACACCAGTTCTGTGACTCACATTTACCTTTAATTGATGGGCTTTTAGGGTACTGCTAACACAAAGAATAGGTTTAGGGTAAGCCATCAAAAGGAACACCTTAATGATGAAATGTGTGGTACAAAGGCACAAGAAGAGATACTGAAATTCATACCCAGGTGACTTCATAGGAAAATACTTTCTGATACTGCTTTATGTGCTAAGATTTATTTATTTAGGGGAAATCGTGTCTATTGGTAGGCCTACCCTCCGGCACTGTCATCGGAAAGTAGGCCATGGTGATATGCTTTTAACAATTTTTTTTTTCTTGAAAGAAAGTGGACATAGAGGATGCAATGAATGTTAGGAATGAAACAGAATGTACAAACAACCACCTGTATTCTTTAAGCTCATTACTGAAAAAGGGAGTGGCCATAATGACTGGGAAAGAAGAAGGAGTTAAACTCGACGTACTTCAATTCCAGGTAATTTGTTTTAAACATTTTGTATGGTATTATCTAAAATGATCTTGTAAAGTGAAAGCAAGGGTACCACACGTAGTTGCTTTATTTCAGACCTTTAAGTCTTCTAAGTCATATTACACTTTGGAAACATTGTGCCATGTACCTGATCTAGGTCTATGCAATAGGGTGTTAAGCATGCGTTCTCAGCTATTGATGAACAAACAGGCCCTTGGTCTGAGGTGCTAGCTATAGGTCAGGCAGGCAGTCAGCAGTCACAGGGAGACTGTACCAGACTTTCTAGTACCACCCAAAGCTGTGAAATGATGTTTCAGGCCTGCTAAATTGAGAAAAGTGAATGATGATTCAACAAAACCACCTGGAGACAGAATGTAAGACAATGAGTTTGCAAAGTTAAAAAAAAAAGGTTGTTAAGACTCATAAAATGAAAAACAACTGATGCATTATGCAAAGTTCAAGGTATATTGAATTTACAGTACAAAAAATACTTGCACTATATCCAAATTGTAGTATGATTTTACATCCATCCAAGGAGAAAGAGATACATCTACTACTATTTCTCCTTCAGAAACCTGCACGTTTCTTTGAAGAATACTAGTGATGCATACACTTAGGGTCAGAATGCATTAACTCACAGTACCGATAGTCAGTTAACATGATGCTGACTCTTCAAGAGAAAAATATAAAACTGGCCAACATAGTCCTAAAACCCTCATGCATATGAATTACTTAAAATGATTTGAGTTAAAACTAGCATGTCTATATAGAAACACTGCATAGATGCCTATCACTTTAAGGAATCTATGACAAAATGAGGAAAGCAGCCTGTGTTAAAGAAAAGAAAAGAACCCACCTTCTTACCTTCACCTCCCTTTTATCTTCCAGAGGTGAAAGAACTGTTTACTGAAGTTTAATTATTTCAGCAGGATTAAAAACAACCCCACCAATTTAGCAAACAGAGATTTAGGAAAAGCAGCAGCTACGCTTTTATTATCCAGGAAAAAGGCTGATTTTGAAACCTGTCACTGCTTTTTACCTGCACTGTGGAAGCTGGGGATCCCATGGAGGGGGCCTCCCCAGGACCACCGGTTATGCTTCTGTTTGGGCTTTTGGCTTCTTTCCATTGTACGCCGTACAACAGCTTCATGGCGCTCCTGAAATGGAATAGAAGAACTAATGATCAGACTCAAATGGCTGTTTAGGGCTTCTTCAACTCCAGGGAAGAGTGGAGCAAGGGGTAGTTGTTAAGTTCTGGCTTTACTACTTCAAACCGATTTTCTAATTTCCACGAGCATTAATCATCTTATCTTCAAAGTTTAATAATCTCTACTTGGCATATGCGGAGTCCTGGTGTGGTGCTGTGGGTTAATGAGTTAGACTGCACAGCCATTTGAACTATAAGGTTGGTGGTTCAAGCTTACCAGTTGCTCCTTGGAAACCCTATACAGGGTCACTATGGGTTGGAAGTGACTGGATAGCACTTAACAACAACAACCTGGCATATATGAATAGGTGTGCAAATCTTAGCATAAGCCGATTGTTAACAAATGAGATAACGTTGGGTGCCACTGAATCTACTTCGACTCATTGTGACTCCATGTACAGAGGAGAAGTACCCTGTAGGGTTGTCTTCATTGTACTTGCTTGGCAAAGTCGAGGGTCAGAAAAAAAGATGACCTTCAAAGAGATGGTTCCACACAGTTATGGGCAATGAAATAAATCACCGCCACCTCTCTAGGACTCCCGCAGTCTAACAACTCTAGAAACCATGGCAGTGATCCTGTATGGCATAATGCTTGGCACCAGTTTGTTCTGCATCCCAACCCATTTGTGCAGCGTGCCATGAAGCATGTGCTGCACTTTGGAACCAGAGGAGCCTCCCATATTTCCAGAGGGCATCTCACTTTGTCCTCCTCGAGCCTCTGCCTCCGTTTCTCCTCCACAGCGGCCCGCCTCCGCTCCTCCTTCAACCTCTGCTCCTCGAGCTTCTTCTTCCGCTCCTCCAGGTGCCTCTCATAGTGCAGCCGTGCACGCTCTTCTCTTTCTAACCAGACGATTTCTCTCGCAGCTTCAGAAAAAAGAATGAGGGAAAACAAACACAAGCAAGCTTAGGACTTGAACACTTAGGGATACATAAGTGATCCACATTGAACAAATAAATACAGGGTTTTCAGGTTTATGTATTCACCAAGTATGGCCTTTTACTTTCCTTAGAGTTTCAGGAAGAAAATGCTAGCATTAATTTTTAACATAATTTAATATGGTAGAAACGAAGTCAGAGAAGATGCGCTGAATTCTCTTCAGGTACCTCACTAGTTTGGCCTATTACTACTATAGAATAATTCGGAAACCATTTCCCATGGACACGATTTTGATACTAATAAGATGTTCTCCTTATTATTAGACCCTGTACAGGATCGCTATGAGTTGGAACCGACTCTAGGGCACATAACAACAACAACAACAAGATGTTTTCCAAACCAACAGTACCGTCTCTCCCTTTGGGTTTATTCTGTATCTGCCTCCCTGCTTACTTTAAATGAAACCCTCTGGAGCATGCTTCTTCTTTGACACACATGGGCCCCATGAGTTGGAATCAAATTGATGGCAACTGGCTGGTTTCTAAGCTGTGAACATTAGGGAAAACTAATCGAAAGGTATTTAGGGACTGTCTTGATAACTTTTGTAAATCTGATATTAAATTATTTTTTAAAAAAAATAAAGAAATGTGATTATCACCAAGATGAAAGTCTGTGACTATCTTTCCTTTAACAGATCACTAATTCTGTATGAGCACTAGAGGTAGCTGTATTAAACAGCTTACAGGTATGGAGACTCTGTCAGCTAAGCAAGGGAAAGGCCAAGGCAAGCAGATCTGTGGCTGAGACAGTACAATCTAGTTAAATAAGGCTTCAAAACATGAGCTGGGGGAAAATATTAAAAATAGTGTTCAATGACAGACTGTCTTGTCAGTTCTTCTTCATTTATACATGATTCTGCCTCATTTTAGGGGAAAATGTAGCCCACAAAACTTAAAAAAAAAAAAAAAGCATTAACATCAGCATTAACAACTAAAAACATCTTTAATGAGTTATTATAAAGTATAAAGTGTAAAATGGAATTAAGAGCATAGATCTCGAGGGCTCTGCATAGCATACACAGTTACTTTTTAAGTGAAAAAAAGGAAATTCACAACATTTCTGTTCCCTTTAAATGTTTAACATAAAAGTTTCTGCATTTTTGGCTGTCTTTTGAATCTTGGTTTTCCTTGCATTATATTATAAAATAGACACTGGAGGGGGAGAGAAAGGAATAGCGAAAAGCATCACCATAGAAAGCTTGTAAGTCCGTCTTCTGCCTACAACTGATTGGAATACCTAAAATGGGGCTACAACGTACCCAGTGAAGGAGGCTTCCTGCAGAGCCTCTGCAATACATAAGACTATAGGTGGAAGCCAACCACATCCAGATCTCCAGAGATGGGAAATTTCCACTTGAAAGGACAAGCAGACCAACCTGGAGTGGCTAGAAGAACAGAACATACTTCTTGAAAGAAAGACCTACAGGAAAAATATAAAACAACATAGGCAGACCGACTGTTACTACAAGAACAAGCAACTTGCTTGCCCAGGAAACATCAAGGCAAGTGGTCGGGTCCCCAGTGCAAACCCCCTTCCAAGACTAAGACTCAATGGGAATACACGCTGTGATTGGTGACCACGTTTGTCACCAATAAGGGGAAGTGAGGGAAAAACAGCAATGAAGTGGTGAGCTAAGCCCTACAATGTTCAATAGACTTCTGTGAACCTGGGTGAAAACCTGGTTGGTTGGCTAGCAGTGTGGCAAGACCTGGGGACTCTTGTGACACAGCCACAGAAGACTAGAGTGGAGAGTGAAGCGTCCAACTGATAAGAAGAAAGGGCATATGCATAAGAACACCCACACTTGCAGATAATACCCACTTATCCTGGCTTCAGTGACTGGATAATCAGAGCTCAACCAGAAGTAAAAAAAAAAAAGTATTCTCATACAATTTGATGAACTTGACCTACACCTATGGAAGCAGCTCAAAAGAGGAACAAGTCCTTACCCCAAGAATCATTCCCACACCCTCCACACACAGAGTAGACAGGGATGGGAGCAACTTGGACATTGGCTACCCAGAATGGGGGGCGGGAGGCTACAAAGGCAAGAAGTGACTGGCTTACAAGCTTTCAAGAGGGAACCTAGATCCAGAGGGCCTGGAGGAAGATAGAATCTCCAGTGAGTAGTATTCAATCTGACTAGCCGGGGCTGATGCAATGAAATGCAGACGGGTCTCTTGTGATACAATAGTGAATAATTGTTAACAGGACTGATTGTGAGGGTCGGAAAAGTAAAGGTAGACATTTTATAGCAAGGAGGGGAGTGATTAACTTTTCAGTCTAGGAGCGGAGGTCCCTAGGACCATCAAGGAAGAAGAGCAGAGAGCGGGACCCTACCCAGAGAAGCAGTGATGCCTGAAATGGAGGCAGAGATGATGACGTGGAGCGATGGAGCAGCTGGAGACTTTAGATTCAGAGAGGGAGAGCAACTGTGTGCTGAAGACCTGCGGGGTACTGGGGAAGGATTGCATGGAGGGGATTGTAACCATGGCAATGAGACAATATATGATAGAATGAATGTAAAACTAATGTTCTCCCATGTAAACTATCACATAATTCACAATAAAACATTTAAGGGGAAAAAAAAAAAGTTTTCTGCATTTCTGCCACCATTCAAGCTTTCACAAAGTTATTAATTTGAGGAGCCCACGCTACTGAAATGGATCTGAATCAACTTTACTTTGTTGCTGAGTGTACTTTTAAGTAGATTCTGATGGATTTTCTAGGCGCTAATCTTTGCTTTCGCTGGGTCTGGATCTGGCATATAGTTTGTCACCTGGACTTGAGCTAGTGACCTGCCCTACTGCCTGATGGACCTGGAAGCTGTCAGCAGCCTGCTATCTTACCAGCCTGACCTGCCTGCCTGTTGCCTGACCTGCCAATCCTGGTTCGTCACCTGACTCACAGGCATGGGACTTGTCCACCTCTACAACTAGGTGAGCCATTTCCTTGATATAAACTTCTCTTTATATATATACAAGCTCCATTGGTTTTGCTACTCTAGAGATCCCAGTCTAAGACAGTTATAGTTCTTTTTCTTAAGTTACTTTATTAATTTTCATTAGAATAATCTAATTTATGCCTTTAAAGTGGGTTGCCTATAGAAAACATATATTTGGATCTTGTTAGCTGCTGTTGCTTTAAGTCTGATTTAAAAACTGCTTGTTTTGTAATTGGTGTGTTTAGACCATTTCATCTAAAGTAGCATTGGCTATGATGTGTGGTTAACTAAGAAGCTCTGGTAGCTTACAGGTTATGAGTCAGGCCGCTAACCTCAAGGTTAGTAGTTTGAAGCTACCAACTATTCCATGGGAGAAAGGTAAGGCTTTCTGCTTCTGTAAAGATTTCAGCCTCCACCACTACCACCACCATTGTATGGTTAGGTGTAGGCTGGACTTTTTTATTTGCTTTCAGTCTTCTCTATTTTTCTCTTCCTCTTTTGTTTGGATTATCTGAATTATTTTTAATATTCCAATTTAATTTATTGATTGAATTTTTGAGATATCACAGATCTTTTAAAAGTGTTTGTTCTAGGGATTACAGGATACATGCATAACTTTCTAGAGTCTATTCACAGTCAATATTTTACCACTTCAAGTGAAAGCTTGTAAGCATATGGGTCTTTATACTCTCCTCTCCTAATACTGTCATATGTATTCATCTACATACATCATAAACACCAACAATGTTATCAATTTTGCTTTCAATAATCGTACATGTCCTAAGGGGAGTGTGGTGGCTGTGGAGCATAAGCACTGGACTGTAAACCACAAAGTCAGCCGTTCAAATCCACCTGCTGCTCCTTGGGAAAAAGATGACTTTCTTCTCCTACAAAGATGTACAGCCTCAGAAACCCTATAGAGGGTCGCTATGGGTTGGAACCAACTCAACAACACCTAACAACAGCAACCAATCCTTACGAGAGCAGACAGCCAAGTCTTTTGGTTAGCAGGCAAGTGCTTAACCACTGTGACATTAAGGCTCCTTGACTTTACTGTTGTTAAGTTACTAACAACAGATTGTTATAAGTCCAGATTGTGTCATCTTTTATACTACAGGACAGCACGAAACATTTCAATGTTTTCATAAGAATTGAAAGTTCATGTATCTTGAGGGTTTTAATTATGCAAAATATTCCTGTGGATAGTAGATAATGTCAAGGTCTAGTATTTTCTCATTAATAAATGGGAATTTTTATCATAAGAAATCAACAACACAGTCAGTGCTTAAAATCAAGAACAATCACTTAATTCCATAAAGAGGTAACGCTGTAAAAAATATAGCATGTTGAACAAAGGAATTATAATATTAACCTTTATTCTTCTGAAATTCTGATTTATCCCGGAACTCTCATATCATAAAATGAAATGAAACCCACTGTTGTCCTGGAGAATCTGGGCATTAAAAAATTCCATCTCTGGGCGGCTGCCACGAGCATTAGGGTTAATGGCAAAGTAACAATATGCACGCACCACATAAAAGAGAAAAAACTCTTTCAATGGGGACTCCCCATCAGAGATGCACACTGACTCTTATACTAAGAGGAATTTGAAACTGAAAGGCAGGGTCTTGTGGTGAAGAGACCATAGAATCCCTTACCATTAACAAGTAACAATGTCTGTGGTCTTGTTTCCTCAGATTGCTATAGGCTTGTTATGAGGACTCAGTTACATACATGGCATAGAGTGCAGTGCCCTGCACACAGTAAAATCCAGGTGCCATCAAGTCAATCCTGATCTCATGGATGTCAGGGTCCTAATGATTTTTAGAAGCAGATCACCAGGTCCTTCTTCCAAGGCACCTCTGGGTGGACTGTCACCTTCTGATCAGTAGCCAAGAGTGTAGCCATTTACACCACCAGGAACTGCTACGCATGCAGATTCAAAGCTGTCCAATCAGTTCCGAACGCTGGGGATCCATGTGT